ACTATTTGCCTGAACTTCGATCTTCCAGCACTCGGCTGTGACGTGCTTCTTAACATTCTGTTGGTAAGATGCAGGCTTATCGTTGCATAGAATTATAGCGCATCCGTTTTCATTCCTGCATAATATTCCATTGTAATAATAGACCACATTTAATTGGTCTCTCCATTCTACTGGAGTGCCGTTTTTAGTTGGAAGCTAATAGTGCTGCTATTCTTATTTCTTTGTGCTGGCGATGTAGCCCGTAGGCTCTTGCATGCCAAGCACTCGCTTTACCACTGAGCTACACCCCCAGCCCAAGAGCTGCCATTCCTGCTGACTTCTGGAGTATAAATATCTTTAGGGGAGGGGAGTGGCTTCATGGTCGGCGACATGTTTTTAAACTGTAACAGCTCATTGAGACATACTTCACGTACCATATAGTCCACCCTTAAAGTGTGCAGTTCAGTGGTTTTCAGTATAGGCACAGAGTTTGACAACCATCACCACGATCATCAGTAATACTTATATGCGCTCGGCTTGCATGTGTTCTGTGGTTCGCTCCCCTCCCCGCCCTCCCCAGTCTTTAGTTCCCAGACTGAGAGCCATTGGCTGAAGACATGGACATGTAGAAAATTAAAATACATATGTTCACTTGTAAGGCTTGGTGCAGCCATTCATTGCATGTTACTGTGGATGGCTTTATAAAGTGACTTTCAAACTTTCAGCAGGGGCATCAGAATCGCCCGGAGGGCTTGTTAAAACAGAGTGCTAGACCCAAGGTTCACTGTGGGTAGGGCGTGGGGATTTGTATTTCTAACAGGTTTCCAAGTGATGGGGAGACCTGGAAGCGCACTGTTACCTTGGAAATTGGAGAACTGGATGTCAGGGGTGCATTCGGCCACTCAGTAGATAAGAGAGGGGATGTAGCTCAATGAACCCCCTTTGTACAACTAATATGCTAATACAAATGTGAAAAAGCAAAAGAATGGGATGTAAGACACAATTTGTTGGAGGGAAAAAGAGGTCAGTTAGCTCTTGTGGTTGCTCAGAGTATGGCAGTACTAACGGAGAGGAGGGAACAAATTTTAAAAATACTCTGGGAACACAGTCAGGAGGCCTTGGCAATGAATTTGACATGCAGGGGAAAGGAGAGGGAGGAGTCCAGAAGGTTTGGAAGACAGGAATGTTTTGGAGGGAGGAAACCAAGCTTTCAGGCCTGGGTCCAGGAAGAGAATTAGTTGGAGGGCAGAGAGCAAGGTAGATGGGAAGGAAAAAACGGAATCCCTACTTCTAGGCTCTTGGAAAAGTCACTCTGTCATGGGTTCATGGTCAAAAGGGCGGTACCCAGGGTGACCGAGTGCCTAAGTCCTTGGTCCCATTGCAGAGTGTTGACCCTGGGAACTGTGTCATCATGGGAATTTTCTAGATAATTGCTCCATGGGAATTAGTATCTGATTTTGGAAGATGGCATAAGTTTTCAAAGTGGCCCCCAAAACTTTGGAAATGGCTGATGTCCTTTATTTCTGTATAGCTCTTACCCTTCCAAAACACCTTAAAATATCCTCTGTTTGACCAAACCTCACCATGTGAAATCTTTCTGCTTTTCCTTCTGCTTAAAGCCCACACATTCTTCAAGGCCCTTCTCACATCCTACAACCTGGCTGCAATTGCTCCCATCTGTGTGCTGCCTCTCAGAGTGGGTCCACAGTTTTTCCCAGAGGGACAAAGCACCTCAGAGATCAGCATCTTAGCCATCTCCATGTTATCTCACCAAGCAGTGCGCCACTCTACCCAGCAGCTGAAAGTTACCTGTGTCTCTGAGGAAAGGATAGAGAGGGCATGGGGACCTGGAATGTCCATTAGCAGCATACTCTAAATAAGGGACCCACAGGTAAGAGCCACCTTCTCACTGGTGAATGGATGGGTCTTATGGAAGCCAGAAGGACTGTCTGTCTCCGTGAGAGGCTGGCCTTCCCGGCCTCTTTTCTATTCCCTTGAGAGCTAAAAGAGGACTTTTCTCTTCTTTCAGTCAACAGACATTTAAACAGCACCTCTGAGATGGGGCATTATCCTAACCACAGGAGAGACAATGGTGAACAAGACCATTTCCAGGGCTGAAGGGGAAAGGAACAGATTGGCAAATGATTGCACATTGGATTGCACACACTTTTATGATGTCAACATGGAGGGCGCGTCCCCTGGGTCAGTTTCACTCCGAAGCCTGATGTGAAGTTCCTCTCCACTTTCTTCCTGAGCCATAACCTCTCTCCCCTCCCTCTGCCAGTGTCTTCGTTCTGCAAAAAGGAAGAGAACCGGAATTCCTGGAATTCGAATATGCTGCCCTGTGGTTTCAATGGTAAAGCTCAGTGGTAGTGTACCTGCTTGGTCTGAATGCGTGCATGAGCCCCAGTTTGGTGTGCTTAAAATGATGCGCATCTCTTCAGAAAGCAGAGCTTCTTAGATCTTAAAGAAAGTCTAGTTATGACAAAGGCCGCAGAAGAAGCTCGGCTTCCTTGCCTATGGGTATTTCACAGATTTGTCCTCTATACAAAGAAGACCCTTCTGCACACTGAGCCCTGCTGCAAATCTCACCAGCGACCTCTACTCGGGCTTTCCATCTGTCTAAACCATCAGTCTCCACACAGCTTCCTTCCTCCCCGGGTGCCTTGAGGCAAGAAGTCCCCATTCTGCCAGGCTCATGAAACCAATCAGCAGCATCTACCTTTCTAAGACACCCCTTCCTCTCCATGCCCACAGGGGCAAACAGTTGGCCAGCTTCAGCTCTGGCACCACTGGAGGAGTGGCTCACATCTTGTGGCCCAGGACCCAACATCGTGAGGGCATTGTGTGTGTGTGTGTGTGTGTGTGTGTGTGTTCAATTGTAGGTACCACACATCTGGAAGACAGAGTAAGAAGTCACGGCATACACTAGAGCCTTTTTCTTTTTTTTTTTTGTAATTTAAAAAATACAGTTTGTGATGGGCTGAGCTTGCTGGAGCACAGGGTGGTGGGAATGCCCCAGGAGCATTTGTAAGGCATGTGGAGAGTAGTAGTCCTTGGGATGTCTGGCCCTAGCTGGCCTGTCAGCCTGTCACCTGGATAATTAGACCCCCAGTGACACTGGTTCCAGCCTTGACTCAGAAACCATGGGCCCCCAATGTGGCCTGGGTTAGACCTAGGGCTTGCAAGACCAGGATTTCACTGGAGCCTGCTGGAGGGTGAGACCTAGGTGACAGACCTGGGGAGACGATAGGAAATGTCACCACTTGGAAGAAAACTGAGCTATCTGGTGGTGGGAAAATGTGAGGCTAGATGCTGCAGGAGCCTTGGTGGTGGGGATGGGCATGCCAGTGGGCAAGAAGGGGCAAGAAAGGATAGGAGGGCTGGAGAAGCTGGAGGGGATGGTCCCCTGGAAGGACTGGTAGGTGGAGCTGGGGATGTTTGGACAAGGAAACTCTTTGAAGCTTTTCAATCGTCCTCCCCACCCAGGACCTGGTCCCCTCCCCTCCATAAAGCCATTAGCTCCTGGTGCCAGCCCTATCTCTGCTCCATCTCTCTTGGTTCCAGTCGGTGCATTCACAGACCTCCTGCCCTGAGGGACCGAGGAGGATTTATGGGGGGTCATGGAGGGGGAGGGGCATCCTTTAGAGGAGGCCTGAGAGGTCTGTTAGGAAAGTCGGGTGTGGGGAGCTGTTAGTGGCTAGAGGCCGGATCATTTCCGAGCTGGCTCTGCATGACAAAGGCGAAGGAGCAAGTCTCTTCTTTGATCTGTCCCCTGCCGGCCCCACACACCTGCCTGTTGGTACCCCCGTCCCAGCTGAGACCTCAAGAAGATCAACCAAAAGGGGGTGGGGAAGAGGCTGTGTCCCAACTCTCCTCCATCCTTCTCTGGACACCTTCCTCTCTTGGTGGCCCCAGGACAAAAACATTTCGTAGGCTGATGACCCAAAACACCTACCGCCCCCTCCCGGAGAGGTTGGAGAGCCAGAACCTCGGGACCGGCGCGGTGAGCTGGGGTGGGGCGACTGGAGCAGCGCGCGCCGGGTTTGCGGGTGCAGGGTTGGAGGTGCCAGGGGGTCCTGGAGAGAGGACCCATTGGAGATGTGGGATCCCGCCCAGAAGGACGCTGAGGGAGAACCGAGGCGGGGGACCTGAAGCATGGATTTGCCTGTGTATCCAAGGGTTCAATGAAAGGTGCGCTTTGGGGACAAGGAGCAGGTGTTAATTACAAATCGCATAAGGCAAAGGTGGGGAGCTCTGGTGCTACAAGGGAGGGGTCATAGCTTCCGGGAGCTGCGTCCTCAGCACAGCCACTGGAGAAGCTAGGGCTGTCGCCAGCTGCTGCAGCGGGAGGGACAGCTCCATTGCGGAGGAGAGGACAAGGAGACAGGTCACTAAAGCTGTGATTCCCAAATGGCTTTTAGGTTTGTTGGAGAAGTTTCCTGGAGAAAGTGAAACGCCCCCACCCTTCTCCCTGCTAGCATTTCTTAAGGATAACCAAGGGTGGGGATTTGGAAAACTGGCTTAGAGAGGACAGGATACAGATGAAGACTCCTGTTTGAGTGTAGATAAATCCAGTTCACTACAAAGAGGAGCCTGAAGGTCAGAGAAGTAAACCCCTGGGCTGGAGTGAGGTTAGGAAGGGGTGGTCCTCTTGTCTCTAGATGTTCTAGAGAAAGAACATGTGTGCTTCCCCAATGGGCAAAGCAGCCCAAATGCTGCACCTAGCACGCTCTGTTCTCAAAAGGATTTGCCTTCTTTTCTGGCTTCTCAGCTTGCTGTTTGCTCCCTTTGGAATTTGGTTTTGAGTAGAGTTTCTCCAGTTTGGGGTAAAAGACCTAAAAGCCCTACAATGAGGGACTGGCACTAAGGAGTGAAGGTTGGAAAGGGCTGAATTTCCTTGAGAGGCAGAATTTCAGGTCCCCACTGCATACCCTTTGAGCTTTCCTGCACACTCCCTCGCCTGGACTCCCGGATCTCTTATATTTGCACACTGATTCTCTGCATTTCTCTCCCTCCAGGGAGCCCTGCTGTGGACCGTGCCGGTCCCAGGGAACTGGGGCGGGCTGAGGCCGACCATGCCCAGTCTGTTGCTGCTGTTCACTGCGGCTCTGCTCTCCAGCTGGGCCCAGCTGCTGACCGAAGCCAACTCCTGGTGGTGAGTGAGAGGTGTGGAGAGGGGCACCATGGGTGTGATCAGACCCTTATCCAAGGATGGGGAGGGCCTCTTCTTCCCAGGAAAACTGGGGGAGTTCCTTTCTCTCTTCAGCCCCTAGAGGTAAGGGTTCCACGAGGAGAATAAAGGATTTCTTTATTTGATTTTTCTTTGATCCTGCCTGGACCTTTTCCTGTGAATAGTTAGAAATAGCTCTTTTATTATTATTGGGAAAATCAGAATATTGATAGTATGAACAAGGTCCTGGGTTCCATCACATTACTACACACACACACACACACACACACACACACACAGTCATCATGGCCCACACATGTAATTCAGTGACTCAGGAGGCTGCACCAGATGAATTGTCTGAGCCCAGGAGCTGAAAGCCAGCCTGGGCGATACACTCTTTCTCAAAAATATATACCTACACACGCATGTATACATGTGCACTTTTGGCTGGCAGAGGCTGAGAGTGAAATTCCTTCTTGATGAGTTTGAACAGCAGACAAGACATTTGCAGGACCACGTGTGTGGCTTCCTTTTTGTTTTTAAGGTTGCTGTCACTGCCGAGTCAACATGGAAATGCCAGGCCACGGTCTGTGACCAGCTTGCATGCTTATTTACTCAGATGGCAGCTATAGCTTGCTCATCTAATTTAGCACTTTTTTAGGTCTGGGAGATGACTAGTAAAAGAGAGATCCCCTGATCTGATCAACGGTGGGAGAGGGAGGGGATGCGGGGTGTGAAAACAGTTGGGTTGGGTTATGTGAGGGGGGAACTCCCTGCCAGGGAGTTGGTGGCTTTCCATCCTGTACTGCGCCCTTGGGCTGCACTGACACTTGTCCTTGAACAACGCTTGTGCGCTCCTGTTGACATTTGGCTCTTCTTTGTCCTCTGGCTCAAATGAATAGCTGCCCCCCACAGTCCACCTCTCTCTCCCCCACCCCCAGGACAAGTTCAGATTCTCACTATGTAGCCCAGGCTGGCCTTGAACTCATGCTCCTCCTGCCTCCACCTGGGCTTACAGGTTATGCCATCGTGCCCAGGCCCAGCTTGGCCATCTCCTTATAAAGGTTTTTCCTCATCCTAAGAATTTTCCCAATCTGATTGTGATGGATTCAGAAGCTGTTTTCATTTTTGACGTTATGGGGGTTTTGAACTCAGGACCTCACACTTGCTAGACAGGAACTCTACACTTGAGCCATGTCTCCAGCCCTTTTTTGCTTTTAGTTCTTTTTCAGATATGATCTCACATTTTTTGCTGGGGGCCAGCCTCAGACCAGGCTTATCCTACCTATGCTTTCTTTGCAGTTGGGATTACAGGTGTACACCACTATGCTCAGCTTGTTGGTTGAAATGGAATCTTGGCAACTTTTTGCCTGGGTGGCCTTGAAACTGCAAGCCTCACAGTCTCTGCCTCATGAGTAGCTGGGATTACAGGCATGTGTCACCACATGCAACCCTAAAGAAGCTGTCGGTTTTAAGCATTTGGCATCTCACATATCATTTGTGATCATACCTTAGTTTCCCTTGGTATTTCCTTTGAAGGCATGTACACTATTTTATTAATTTTTCCTTTAAGTTCTTAGTCCAGGGCCTTGGGCACAGAAACACTCAACAGCTGTTGAATGAATGGCTTAACACTGTGCATAGGCACACACTCACTGCTCGGTCTTTTCCCTCTCTCTGGCTTGCTGTTGTAGGTCATTAGCTATGAACCCAGTGCAAAGACCTGAGATGTTTATCATCGGTGCACAACCTGTGTGCAGCCAGCTTCCTGGGCTCTCCCCCGGCCAGAGAAAGCTGTGTCAATTATACCAGGAGCACATGGCCTACATTGGCGAGGGAGCCAAGACGGGCATCAAGGAATGCCAGTACCAGTTCCGACAGAGGCGCTGGAACTGCAGCACCGTGGACAACACGTCTGTCTTTGGCAGAGTCATGCAGATTGGTAAGAAGCTGTTGGAATGTGACTGGCCAGGGACCTATGTCCAGTTCTTCTCTCCCAGGCCCTGCACGCTGAGATCCTTGGAGCTTCCCTGGGCTCTCTCTAGTCTTAGAAGCAGTGGGCAAGAAGGGAGAGGAAGGTACACAGAAGAGGAGGTACCAGAGTAATATGGTAATACCCATACTGTGTCCTGCAGCCTCTACTTTCCAGTCTCATTGGGGGGCTAGCTGTGCGACTCATCCCGGGAGGGGAGGAACATCTGAGTCAAGTCAAGAGTGAATTAGAAGACTGTCACCGCCTCTCAGTCCCTCCTTTTAAGAGTCTTGGGGAGAGAACCCAAAGCTGCAGCCCTAAATGTCTGTAAGATTTTTTTTTTGCCTCTTCCACTTGGACCCTTGAAAGACAGAAACTCAGGGCCAAATTGGTGCTGTCATCCAGATCCAGAGCTGTCTTTTTCGTTAGAAAGGATGTGTGTGTGTGTGTGTGTGTGTGTGTGTGTGTGTGTGTAAGTGGGGGAAGGGAACAGGCTAAAGGAGGAAGATAACAGGGCCACTCTTCAGCATTCCAGTCCCTTCCCCTCTCCCACTCCTGCTCTAGGATTCTTTGGCTGTCCTATTGCCTAGAAGGAGGTGTGATCTGAGGTCTAATTGTTTTAGATCCTTTTGAAATGCAATCCTGCCTCCCTGGCAAGAAATTGAGAAATCCGGCGCTATTCTACTGGGTCTTATCCCCAGGGCCATAAAAGAAAGGTGTTGGAGGCAGCATTGGTCCCTGTCCTCATTCTCCCAGGACAACTTACCATCTGAAGACCACATTGTAGAGTTACCTGGGGCTGGGATTTTCCCAAAGAAGCCCTCAGGGGGGCTGGAGAGCGAAGAGATTTTGAAATCCTTTATTACGAAGGATACTCAAAAGTTCCCCACCACCACCACCACCACCAAGGGATTCCAGGCCTCTTTCTCCTGCCTCAGACGGAAAAATAAAACTTGAGGGAAAGTACTCCTTGAACCCTGTCCGCCAGAAACATAACCCAATGTTCCTGAAACCCTTAGGGCAACTTTCCCAAAAAGTGGAGGGTTAGGTGGAGTTTACTCAGCTTCTTCTGGAATCCACCTGGTATTTGTGTCTCCCCAGCATCACTTGTCCTGTGTTCAGTGTGAAGCTGACCCAAGTAGAGGGAGAACCATCTGCTACTCACTTTGAAGGAGCTCATATTTGGGGACCTAATGTGTGTCTGACCTTGGCTTCAGGGCAGGATGGAGGTGGGGAGTTAGACAGCAGGCTTGCCTTTGGAAGGGAAAGATAGATGACAGGATGGCTGCACACCTCTCTACCTGGCTCTCTTACAAACTGGAGCCCTTCTGTCTGCTAACTTTCCCTTTCCTTTTTGTAGCTTCCCTAAGGCTGTTACTACCTGGAAAGCTGTCCTTTCTTTCTCCCCCCCCCCCCCCCCGGTCCCCCTTCCAGAGTAGCTCTTGGCAAGAAATCTCTATTTCAGTGTAGGACATCCAAAAAAGTTCCTTCCTTCTTGGAAGGCACTGCAAAAGTCTGTCACCAGAGGGCAGCAGAGCAGCTCCAAGGAGCGCTGGCCTCTCCTGGCCTGGGCCTGGGGAACTGGAGGCAGCTTCCAGGCTGCTATGGAATGAGAGAGCACAGTACTCCTTGGAGCCGGAAGACTCAGCTCCATTTGTGCTGGTTTACTCATTAACCTTTTATCCTTGAGAAGGCTTGAGTTTCAATTCTAAAGTTTCACATATAGCTAAAACCTCACGTGGCTATCCATCCTGAAACCCTAGTCCTGAACCCTCTTTCTTCCTGAGGGTAGTTGTAGTGGTCTGTAATTCCCATGCTTACCCAAGACCCAAATTCTGCCCTATGCAGGCAGACATAGCCACTTTGTCTAAAGATGCCCCTCACCCCAACAAAGGCAGAACGTGATTGCACCCCAGGGCATGTTCAGGTCCCAAACCATCAAGATAAAACAGAGCTGTCAGAGAACAAAACATCTGGCACATGACGATCAGCTGTGCGTACATTGTTTCAGAAGGCAATTGGGAGAAGGCTGATTCAAGTCTGAAAAGCTAAAGAATTAGTCAGTTGCTAAAGAATGGTAGAAGAAATCAGACATATGCAGCTTAGAAAAAGAACCCATAAAAGGCATATTACTTGTTTTCAAACACTGAAGAGCTGTCAAATGGAAAAGGAATTAGGCAGTGTAGCGCCAGCAGGCGGAAGTTGTAGGGAGGCATATTTTGGTTTAATATGAGAAAGAACATTCTGGCAATTAGAGTCATTTAAAAAAAGATGGAATGACTTTCTTTGGAAGCCCAGCGCACCTCCGTGGGATGCTATGGGGGCATGTTCCCAGTGGGTGGACAGGGGCTTCAGAGTCTCCTTCCTGTTCCAGGATGCCACGTCAGGGGCTTGAGCCATGTTTAAGGAACACTTCTCAGGCATGAGTTTCTCAGAATGGGACCTAGTCCATCTCCCTTAGAGATTCCTAGGCCATCTTACTATCTCAGATGGTCACTGTCACAGTCTGGCTCCCCTAAACCAGATCCCTCAACTCTGGCTGTGATTCATTCCTGGGTCAAACGCAGAACTGATGACTGAACCGTGAGTGAAACTTCCTGCCTGCCATCATTTGGGTTTTTCTTGGGGCATTCCTATTCCACAACTGACCAGAAGCCGACTCTTGGTTAACTGAGAAAAGCTGACTCAGCAAGCATACTCTGGTTTGGAACATTGTGATGCCGTCACTGTGTGGTGCAGAGTAACCAAGAAGCAGGGAGAGGTCACGCCAGGCCCTTTAACTGACTGCAGGCTGCTGTCCCACCGATGTCTGCTGCAGACTGTGGAAACTCGGGAGAGCAGAAGGTGTCCCCTGATGTAGTCTCTGAGATCAAGATTGAATCTGTTTTCTGCGAAGAACACACACCCCTTACTGTTGGTCCATTCCCCTACCCCCAGCCTGAGCATCTACAAATCTGTCTCTGTGAAGTTGTGGAAATGGGGTCCTGCAACATGTGGCCTTTGGGGACCAGCTTCTTTCACTTAGCATGATTATAAGGCTCGTCCATGCTGTAGTGTGTTTCTGTTCTTTTTCTATTATCCCATTGTGTGGATAATATCACATTTTGTTTATCTGTTCATCCACTGGTGAACAACTGAGTTGTTTCCACTTTGGGGCTATTGTGAACGTCTCAGCGATGAGCATTTGCGTGGGCGTGTCTGTGTGGACTTCTCTGGGACGTGTTCTTAGGCGTGGAATTGCTGGATCATCTGGAACTCCATGTAACCTTTTGGTGAACTGCCAGGTACTTTTCCAAAGCAGCTGTAGCTTGTAACGTTCCCATCAATAGCAGAGTAGGTTCCCTATCTTTACCAGTGTGCTATTACCTGGCTCTTTTATTGTGGCCATCCTGGCGGATGGAGAGTGGGAGCTCATCGTGATTTGCATTTCCCTGAAGGCTGAGTATTATTTTTATAAATGTTTTCATCATGTCATGTGAGTTTTTAAGTGGGTTGTTACAGCAATAAAAGGGAACATAGCTGGGATTTCCTACTGGAAAATGATCTGGACAGTTAGAGGAATGGTTCTGGGTGTTGGAAATTGTAGGTACTGTCCGTCCATTGGCTCCCCAGTGCTCTTGAGCTAGGAGGCAGAATGGGGCCTGTGGAAGAGAGAGAGAGAGAGAGAGAGAGAGAGCTTGGATAATTCTAGACCTTGTTAAGTCTATTCCTGGTCTCTGCCACTATCTAGCTAAATAACAGCAGCAATAAAAAAGACACATGGCTCAGAGTCACCTCCTCAGCCTTGTTCTGTGAGTCCCACTGACCCATAAATTTCCCTATGCCCATTCTCCTTCCATGTAAGTCTCCCTCCTAGGCCTATAGGTCCTGTGAACTCTGTTGTGGAAATAAGCGGGGGGCCAGGCCTGGAGGGGTTCATCTGGTTCTGTGTGGCATCATAGTGCAGAGCGAGGGCCAAGAGGCTGGGGTAAGGAAGGCAACTTCAGTCCTTGGGAAGGGGAGGCAAAGCCAGGCCAGGCACCCCTAGACATCGGTTCCCGTCCTGGGACTGTTGCATGGGGGCTGAGGCAGGAAGGCAGGAGGAGGTGGAGAGAAGGAACAGGCCTCCAGCAAGGATGGTGGCCTTGCTGGCACTGCACCCCTCTTGTCTCCCTTGCAGGCAGCCGGGAGACAGCCTTTACCTACGCTGTGAGCGCTGCGGGAGTAGTCAACGCCATCAGCCGAGCTTGCCGCGAGGGTGAGCTTTCTACATGTGGCTGCAGTCGGACCACGCGGCCCAAGGACCTGCCCCGGGACTGGCTGTGGGGTGGCTGCGGGGACAACGTGGAGTATGGCTACCGCTTTGCTAAGGAGTTTGTAGATGCCCGAGAGCGGGAGAAGAACTTTGCCAAGGGATCAGAGGAGCAGGGCCGAATGCTCATGAACCTGCAGAACAACGAGGCAGGTCGCAGGGTAAGATGGCCCTCGCCCGCCCTCCCCGACCCCTTTCAGATGCCCCATCCCCAGCGGGCACACGTATTGTCACTTGTCTCGGTTGCTGTCTGTTTGTTGAGACAGGGTCTCTCTGTCATCCAGGCTGACCTTGGAATTCCTGGGCTCAACAATCCTTCTGCTCCATTCTCCTTGAGTGGCTGGGACTGCAGGCTTGATGCCACTGCACCTGGCTCCTGAGTGTCACTTTTCTAACTTTAGTTATCACATCAGAGGCCATCTGTCCCTATAGGACGTACATGCAATGTTTGGATATGAATTCCAGACACATAGAGTGGAGTTCTCGTCTCCACCCACTCCCTTTTGTAATTGGAACAGATGAGATGACTGGAAGTGTAGGCCATTAGACCTGGCCTCGGATTTATGATTTGTGAAAGGCTCAGGTGAGCCAGAGCTGACGTTTAAGAGCTGCTGTCGTACATATCCAGAGCTCCAGTCCAGAAGCACATGTCGGTGCTAATGGCAAACCACTCTATGCTAGGTTTTAAACAGAAGTGGAAGTGTGAAAAGACAGCCCGCTCTTGAAGGCTTAAGCAAACATTCTCCCCAATGTAAGATGTGACTGTGTGTGTGGTTTTGGTTTTTTTTAATGATGATACTGGGGTTTGAACTCAGGGCCTTTTGCTTGCTAGGCAGGCACTCTACCCACTGAACCACACCCCTAGCCCTTTTTAGTTTAGTTATTTTTTGAATAGGGTCTTGCGTTTTTTTCCCAGGCTGGCTTGCCCTGTGATCCTCCTATTTACTGCTCCCTGGTAGCTGGGATGACAGGCATGAGGCTGGCCTATGTTACCATCTTCTCAGCCTCAATTTCAGCAGAACCTAAAACGCAGTTTGGGGCAACTTAGTTTCTTGTGTATGCTGAGCGTACCTGGGCATGGTTTCCCCCTTGCAGGTACCAAAGAGTGTGTTCTTTTTCTGCTTGCACCTTGGTCAGGAAGACCCCCTCTAAGCATGTCTGTACTCCCACCCACTTCCTCTGTCATAGGAAACTGGAGGGCCTGCCTGCAGGAAGCTTTACCTCATGCTGGCTCAGCGGAGCCAGTGTGGACAGGAACTGGAAAGTGTTGAGGTCTGAGCACTAGCAAAGAGCACCTCATGAAACAAAGCAGACTTCTTCCTTGGAGTGTTGTCCCCATTCAAGTCAATGTCCAGCTGGCTTGCTCTGGGACCCTGGTGAGGTGCCCTAGTGGAACCAAAGGTGAACTAATGTAAGAACCAGTTTCTTCAGAAGAAGCAAGGTCAGGGATTCAATACTCGCTCACTGGTGATTCAGGAACAGGATATAGATATATTTCTAAAAATGTCTTCATATATACAGCGTTTAAAACGGGACATGTGCAGTGGCTTATGCCTGCAATCCCAGCTACTCAGGAGGCAGAGGTCAGGAAGATTGCAACTCAAGGCCGGCCCAGGCAAATAGTTCATAAGACTCCATCTCAATCAATCAGCTGGGCACAGAAGCATGTGCCTGTCATCCCAGCCATATGGGAGGTATAAATAGGAGGAATGAGGTCCAGACTGGCCCATGCCAAAAATGTGAGGTTTATTAGAAAAATAAGTAAAGCAATAAAGGCTGAGGGTATGACTCAAACGGTAGTGTACCTGCCTAGCAAGTGTTCAAACCCCAGTACTGCAAAAAAAAAAAAAAGCTTTAAAACATCAACCCACATTTCGGAAATGGAATTGAACATGTCTCTTGTATAAAATCAAGATCTTGTACTATTGGCTTAACAGAACTCAGTACACCTTCGTGGACTTGGTATCAACCATAGTGTATCACTGAGTAGGAATTACAACTGGTTGTTCACTGTCTTCCTTACATATAACAAGTGGGAGGCAGGGTGCAGGGCTGTGTGAGGCTGGTTTTGGCACGTGGCTATTATGGTGTAGGCCAGGACAGAAAGACCAGAATCAGTTTAGATGACTTCCACTCTAGGCCTCTGTGGGGCTGCCCACTGTCCAGGCCACCTCTGTTTAGCAGTCCATGTGGAGTCTGACTTGAGGGACAGAGAAGGATCAGCAAGAAGGGTTATGTTTGCCACTTTATCACTTTATCTCCTGGATGCCTACCTTCTATTCTTTCTCAAAATTGGACCTGCAGTCCCAGCTACTGAGAGGTTGAGGCACAAGGATGGCATGGGGCTAGGAGTTCAGCCTGGGCAGCGTAGTGTCTTTACAAGGAAACAAAACAAAACACAAAAAAGATGTCAAATACCATCTAGTCCTTAGCATGTTTTCTCCTTCCTCACAGTCCCTCTTGCACCTGAACGGCAGTGTGGCATTTGTACTTTTCTGTACTTTCCCTCTACTTTGATCTGATCTTCTCTCTAATAACCTCCAGCCATGCTGTACATGGGTGGGCACATGTGACTATTCTGCCTCCTAATAAGAGGTCAAATTCACAGGGGGAGGAAGAGGCAACCTGTGGAATTGTGGCAGATAGCAAAGGGGACCTGGTCTGCATCCTAAAATGCAGCCCTGGAGGCAGAGAAGGAGACACCAGCTCCTCCCTCTTCCCTTAGAGTTTGACCCCACTTCTGCTGGCTCCTCTCTTTATTGCCCTTAATTGTTTGTTTGTTTGTTCTGGGTCCTTATCTGGGCAGCGCCTTTCCTTCCATCTGCCTTGTTCTCCCTCACACACCTCCCCTGGCTTCCTCTGTCTATCTCCCAGCCTTCAGGTCCCACCTTCCTCCAGACGCCACACCTCTTCAGTAGCCCTTTATCTCTCCCTCTGCCTCTTTCTGCTCCATGTTGGGAATTCTTGTCCCTCTGTATTTTTTAATCCCTCTCCAAGGAACAGGCTCTAGCCATCAATCACCAAAGGTATTCATATCTCACCTTCTCACACCTACACAGAATTCTGCAACGAGGATTCAGGTGACAGGGATGATTTTAACAATCTAGAATCTGACATGTTAACTACAGAGTCAATCTCAGGCATAAGCTGCCAGAAGTTTCTCTTAGCCTTTAAGAGCCTCTGGTAGCTCTCTCTTAGACAGGGAAGGCAAGACCTGCGTTTTGGTATTGCTTGGCCACTCAAGGGTTTCTAAGCATTGTCCAGATAAAAGCCTTGTACCTAATCCTTGTGACATTCCTGCCAGATACCAAGCTGTCACACCAGGAGATAAAGGGAGAAGACATAGGGCTAAAACATTTTTACAAGTATTTTACTTTTTTTGAGGAGGGGGTGCTGAGGATCAAACCCAGGACCTTACATGTTAGGCAAGTACTTTGTCCTTTGCACTCCACCCCCGCCCCCCTTTTTTTTTTTGAGTCAGCGGGAAGGGTCCACAATTGAGATTTTTCACCCTCTTCCTACAGAAGTAGCCTTAAATATTTATATAAATTATTTTTAAAATATTTTTTAAACCCACAAATATTATAGCCTCTGCCATACCTTCATAGTGGAAGAAGGGCAGAATGGATGAAATAGTGAAGGGGAGTGACACTCTATGTGTCTCGGGCTTATTTTGCTGAAATTTCTGTCCTCGCCCATGTTGCCTGGCTGTGACTGTCCTTCCCCAAGTCTCATTAGAGATGCTTATCCTGCTCCCAGGTGCTTAGTGGTAAGGTACACAGTTTTAGACCCTAATGCTTCCTCCTTCAGCAGCGCCAGACGCCAGCCATCTCTCTAAACCAAGGACCAATTCCAAAGGAATGTCAGGTTGTAGCTCTGGGCTGGGGGATTTGAGCCAGAAGGGTAATTGCAGGCCTTGTCTTTGAAGTTCTTGTTGGGATGTCATGTCAATTCCTGGAATTGCCAGGCCAACTCCTGGTGCCTTTAACCTTGGGGAAGAGTCTCCCTTCCTTCTCTGCCCTATGTCACCTTAAGCCAAAAGATTGAAGTGCAGGAGTGATTGCCATTCCGGCTCCCTTCTGGGTGGTCCTGAACAGGTCTCCAAAACACCCTAGAGCTTCAGTTTCTCTCCTGAAAAATAGTAAGAGTAATTCCTTACCAGGAAAAAGAAATCAGGAAGTTTTGACGGTGGTCCTATGAGCTATGGTGGTTAGGCATTTCTTGCACCTATAGTCTTTCTGTTTAGCATTGAATAAAGACACAATCTGGAGCCTCCTGAAAAGAAATCTAAGAGGAAATCCTTGAAAAATGAGTCCCAACTCAGCTGGGGACAATAGCTGTGTCACAGGAAAATGTGCCAAGGCAGATGTGTATTCTTACCCCGCCATCTGCACTTCTGGGCCTGCTGCCAGCATGATTTGATGCAGGATGCGTTCATTGAAAGGCACTTTGTAAGCAGCTTTCAGATCGTCTCTTGCTTTTACATTTTGATTTGTGATAACCAAAGTTCAAATCCACTTTGCTTTGTCCGGATTCGTGATTTCCGGGGTAGATTTGTTTTTGAATGAATTCCCCCATAGGTAGGCCCACCAACTTGCTCTCCCACTGCCCTGGGTCCCATCTCGTTCCTCCATACTCTCCCAGGCGAGAAGTCTTGCTTACAAATATGATAGCTTATGGGAGACTCCTGATGACTGCAGAGCTGGTGAGCAAATGGCAACACAGGAAAAGAGACCATTCAGTTCTTGGGGATTTAGTAGGATCTTGGAGAAGTGTTGCTTTTGATGAACTGGCCCTGTTACAGGATAGTGGGACAACTGGATTCTTTCTTTTCTGACTTGTGCTCAATAGTATGCAACAGCTGACATCTTTTTGTTGGAGTTTTAGTTCGTTGCTTGAGATTTGTTCAAGATTTTGAGCCAGCCACCATGGTATACACCTTTAGTCCGAGCACTTGGAAAGACTGAGGCAAGAGGGTCACTTGAGTGAACCTAGACGTTTGAGGTAGCCTGGGCAGTATTACAAGACTCATCTCAAAAACAAATACACAAAAAGGTGGAATTTTAGGGGACTGAGAATGTAGCTCCATGGTTAGAGTGTGCCTAGCAAGCACGAGGCCCTGAGTTTGATCCCCACTCAGCACCACACACACACACACACACACACACACACACACACACATATGAGCGCGCACACAAAAAAAGATGAACTTTTTTTCTGATTATAAAATGACACATTTCTCGTAATCCATTTCACAAAATGTGAAATGCATGAAGTAGACAGAGAAAGAGTCCCGATTACTATCCCTTGCAGTGGATGAGAACATTTTCCCTGCCTCCCCAGTGATCTAGGCAGTTCTTTAATATGCTTTTCATCTGAGTAGCCAAGGAGCCTGGAAGAATCTCCACCTTCGTCCCCTGCCCCTGCCCATCAGCCCCTCTCTGTACTTGGACTCTCTTCCTATCCCCTTCTTTCTCCTCTTAGGCTGTGTACAAGATGGCAGATGTAGCCTGCAAATGCCACGGCGTCTCAGGGTCCTGCAGCCTCAAGACCTGCTGGCTCCAGCTGGCTGAGTTCCGCAAGGTGGGGGACCAGCTGAAGGAGAAGTATGACAGCGCGGCTGCCATGCGGATCTCCCGCAAAGGCAAGCTGGAACTGGTCAACAGCCGCTTCAACCAGCCCACCCCGGAGGACCTGGTCTACGTGGACCCCAGCCCCGACTACTGCCTGCGCAACGAGAGCACAGGCTCGCTGGGCACCCAGGGCCGCCTGTGCAACAAGACCTCGGAGGGCATGGACGGCTGTGAGCTCATGTGCTGTGGCCGGGGCTACGACCAGTTCAAGAGCGTGCAGGTGGAGCGCTGCCATTGCAAGTTCCACTGGTGCTGCTACGTCAAGTGCAAGAAGTGCACTGAGATCGTGGACCAGTATGTCTGTAAATAACCAGGCCTCCACTCTGCCTTACAGAAGTCTATATTATATAAATCTATAGAAATATATTTTATATTTGTATAATAAATGAACGGGTGATAAAATAATTAAGAGAAGAAAATGGAAAGGCAAAGCTTATTTAAGAGATGCTAGAAATCGTTTGAGGACTGGGCTGTGCTGGTTCTCTGCTCCCAGTGGGAGGGAGAAGGGGGTTTTCCCTCTCTCAGGACTTATGTGTGCGGGGACTTGGCCTCTAGGAGATGTGGTCTCCAGGAGAGAGGCAGTAGTCAGGTGGACGGAACGATCTTGACAGAAGGCTGGAGTCTTTTTTTGGGGTAGATGAATGTCCTATGGCCCTGTGGAAGGTGGCATGGTGACCACAAAGCGACCTCTGCCTCCCCTGATTCTTAGGGCTGTCTCCTTACGGGCCTCCTCCACAGTTCCTAAGCTCCTGCACCACTAGGAGAAGGGTCCTTTCAGTGACCATATCATGAACTGAGCGTTGTGCCTGTGCTGCAGAAGCCTGGTACAACCTGAGTAAACATTGCACTGTCCTCCCACCCAGGGGGACGAGGCTGCCACTGCTGCTGTCACTGCCCCCGTCAACACCGGCCTCATGAGCAACAGGACAAAGTGGGCAGGTCAGGCCTGGCCAGCCTGGCGTGTGCTCTGCATCTCTGTCCAGGTGTACAGTTGTTCTCTGACATTAAACATCCTTCACTGAGGTATCTTTCTTCCTTCTCCTTATTTGGACATACAGTTATCTTTCATGAATCTCTTTTGATGTTCTCTTTATTTTTGGTGCTGAGGATGGACCCCAGGGCCTTGTGCATGTTAAGTAAGCCACTGAGCTACACCCCTGCCGTCCAAGTTTTGATCTGCTCTTTATAACTCTGCTACATGGTGTGGTGGAGGGTAAGGAAATTGAGACTGTTACTGCTCTAGTCTGGTCAATACAGAAGACAGGACTATTACAAAAATTTAATAAGGCAATGCATTTAAGGTCTCTCCCCAAGGGCTAGCATAAAGTTAAGCATTCAGTCAATGGTAGCCATTAATGTTGCTTTAGTGAACAAGAGTCTGAGATTCAAGTGTAAGCCTCAGATGCACCTGTCCCTTTCACTCCTTGCTTCATCTTGTACCCTCCCGAGGTGACGCTGATGTGTAATTGCTGGTTGGTGCAAAAGTGCAGACAGAGGAAAGCTTTCTGCACCTTCGCTGTTACCACCTGCAGTGATGGATCACAGGACCTGGGGACAGGAGAGAGAAAGGCAGAGCGCAGATCCTGGAAGGGAGAGGTTATTATTCTATAAAGGGAGGGATCCGAAGGGTGTAGCTTAATAGTGGAATGCTTGCCTAGCACGTGCAAGGCCCGGGGCTCCATCCCCAGCACTGCTAAGTAAATGGATGGGTGGATGGATGGATAGATAGATTGACTGATAGATAGATGATAGATGGGGAAGGAAGGGAGGAGTTGATGGAGAGATGCAGAGCCAGGCTGCACTGGAGTAAGCTGGAAATTACATAAAGGCATTGTATTTCAGAAAAGTTCATTAACTGGGGAATAATGGAATTACAGAATTAAACTGGGTTGTAGAATGAGCAAGTGGTATGACAAAAGATTCCACCTGAGCGTCTGTGTGTTTGTCTAGGCCACCCGTATCTGTAGTAGCTAAAGGAGGATCTTCTGACAGAGCTAGGATTATTTTACCAGGAAATACTCACACTGTTACTTAGATTCCTTTGCTCTACGTGTTCAAGGTGAATGTCCATGTACGAAAGTGACTGATAAAAATAAATAAGGAAAAAGATTTTTTTTTGAAAAACAAAAAGGTGATTGAGGTCAATTTGTCTTGTACAAAAGATCAAAATTATGCCCTTGGTTTCATTAGTAGCCATGTAGCTATCTTAAACTTAACTGAACTAGCTAGCCACATACATCAACCACAATAATAAGGGTTTTGAAACACTGGCTAGCATTATTTTTTTGTGGTGCTGGGGATGGAGCCCAGACCCTTTAAATGCTAAGTGCATGCTCTGCCCTGGACTGCACATGCTTTCCTACACACTGTTCTAGAGGTCCAAGGAGTTGTTTATGTCAGATGTTCAAGGTATTAGAAGTTGCAATTCCACCTCAGAAACCCCGGGAAATTCATTGAGAATGACTTGTTCACAATCCCTCAAAACCACTTCCATGTTCCTGAAGGAGACGGAATCCCCTCTGCATGGAGCAGTCAGGGCAAGTGGGTGGAGTAATCAGTGTCCTCCTTCCAGACGGGAGGAAGCCACATGTTCAAGTGCCATTGTGATGTACATACCCTGACCAATGAATTGATAGTTGGTGTCATGTGCAGGTTGAATCCTGGTAGGTTGGAAGCTGTCTGAAGTGACCAGGAATGCTGTAGGAATGTGAATAGAGTGCAGAAACCAAGCTGAGGGAAAAGAAAATGAGTTCTGCCCAGACTTTGGGAAGGGAGGTCATGGCAGTCAGAGCTCCGAACCAGGAGTCCTAATAAGGCCCCACAGATCTTCAGCAGGGCCCAAGCCTTGGGGCATGTATAAAAACCCAAAACCAGAAAGTTTTATTCAGTCTGTCTAGGGCAGAGGCTACCTTCCACAGGGACTGAGGTGACAGCACTGTACTTCCTGGCACAAAACCAAGACCTGCAGGTAGATTGCAAGCCTGGTCCTAATTCTCAATCTAATGGTTCTTGGTGGTCCTGTACAGGTCATCACAATATCTGAAATTTATGACCAACGTGGAGTCTATGGAGTCTAATCAGCAGCTTATAAGCCGGGCACCAGTAGCTCCCACCTGTAATCCTAGCTACTTGGGAGGCTGAGATGGGAAGAATCACAGTTAAAGGCCAGGCTGGACAAATAGTTTTCAAGACCTCATCTCAATATAACCAGATCCAAATGGGCTCAAGCTGTAGAGCGGCTGCTAGTTCAAACCCCAATCCCAGCAAAAAAAAAAAAGATGAATGGGTGCTTCCATTGCCTGACTAGTCCCTGGACCAAGCAGGCCTAGCCATCCAGAACATTTTTTTTGAGACACAGTCTCGCCATGTAGCTCAGATTGGTTTGGACTTGAGATCCTCCTGCCTCAGCCTCCCAAGTAGTGGGATTCCAGGCATGGGCCACCACACCTAGCCTGAGAACTTTTTTTTTTTTTTTTTTGCATACTGGGATTTGAACTCATGGCCTACACCTTTAGCTACCAGCCCTTTTTTGTGAAGAGTTTTTTTTCTTTTTTTTCCTATTTTTTAAATTTTTATTTTTTTTTATTCATATGTGCATACAATGCTTGGGTCATTTCTCCCTCCGGCCCCCATCCCCTCCCTTACCACCCTCCGCCCCTTCCCTCTACCCCCATCCCCTCAATACCCAGCAGAAACTATTTTGCCCTTATCTCTAATTTTGTTGTAGAGAGAGTATAAGCAATAATAGGAAGGAACAAGGGTTTTTGCTGGTTGAGATAAGGATAGCTATATAGGGAGTTGACTCACATTGATTTCCTGTGCGTGTGTGTTACCTTCTAGGTTAATTCTTTTTGATCTAACCTTTTCTCTAGTTCCTGGTCCCCTTCTCCTATTGGCCTCAGTTGCTTTAAGGTATCTGCTTTAGTTTCTCTGCGTTGAGGGCAACAAATGCTAGCTAATTTTTTAGGTGTCTTACCTATCCTCACCCCTCCCTTGTGTGCTCTCGCTTTTATCATGTGCTCAAAGTCCAATCCCTTGTTGTGTTTGCCCTTGATCTAATGTCCACATATGAGGGAGAACATACGATTTTTGGTCTTTTGGGCCAGGCTAACCTCACTCAGAATGATGTTCTCCAATTCCATCCATTTACCAGCGAATGATAACATTTCGTTCTTCTTCATGGCTGCATAAAATTCCATTGTGTATAGATACCACATTTTCTTAATCCATTCGTCAGTGTGGGGCATCTTGGCTGTTTCCATAACTTGGCTATTGTGAATAGTGCTGCAATAAACATGGGTGTGCAGGTGCCTCTGGAGTAACCTGTGTCACAGTCTTTTGGGTATATCCCCAAGAGTGGTATTGCTGGATCAAATGGTAGATCAATGTTAGCTTTTTAAGTAGCCTCCAAATTTTTTTCCAGAGTGGTTGTACTAGTTTACATTCCCACCAACAGTGTAAGAGGGTTCCTTTTTCCCCGCATCCTCGCCAACACCTGTTTGGTGGTGTTGCTGATGATGGCTATTCTAACAGGGGTGAGGTGGAATCTTAGTGTGGTTTTAATTTGCATTTCCTTTATTGCTAGAGATGGTGAGCATTTTTTCATGTGTTTTTTGGCCATTTGAATTTCTTCTTTTGAGAAAGTTCTGTTTAGTTCACTTGCCCATTTCTTTATTGGTTCATTAGTTTTGGAGAATTTAGTTTTTTAAGTTTATTTCCTATATATTCTGGTTATCAGTCCTTTGTCTGATGTGTAGCTGGCAAATATTTTCTCCCACTCTGTGGGTGTTCTCTTCATTTCTTTTGATGACAGAAGCTTTTTAGTTTTATGAAGTCCCATTTATCTATGCTATCTCTTAGTTGCTGTGCTGCTGGGTTTCCATTGAGAAAGTTCTTACCTATACCTACTAACTCCAGAGTATTTCCTACTCTTTCCTGTATCAACTTTAGAGTTTGGGTCTGATATTAAGATCTTGATCCATTTTGAGTTAATCTTGGTATAGGGTGATATACATGGATCTAGTTTCAGTTTTTTGCAGACTGCTAACCAGTTTTCCCAGCAGTTTTTGTTGAAGAGGCTGCTATTTCTCCATCGTATATTTTTAGCTCCTTTGTCAAAGACAAGTTGGTTATAGTTGTGTGGCTTCATATCTGGGTCCTCTATTCTGTTCCACTGGTCTTCATGTCTGTTTTTGTGCCAGTACCATGCTGTTTTTATTGTTATTGCTTTGTAATATAGTTTGAAGTCAGGTATTGTGATACCTCCTGCATTGTTCTTTTGACTGAGTATTGCCTTGGCTATTCGTGGCC